TCAGAGGCTATAATTAATACAAAATGGGAAATATGATATACATTTTTTTCTGGGAAAAGATTTGTTAAGCACTATGCAGTCAATAAAGTTAAAAGAGATTTTGTTTGTGTGTGTTCTGAAGAGGTTTTATTGTTTTGCTTGGTTTGGCTTTGGTTTTGTTTTGTTTTGTTTTGTTTTTTTAGGGAAAATTGAGATGTTAAGTGCTGCAAACCGAATGTTCACACTTGGCCTTTTGGGTTCCCACTGCTTACAAATTACATGCAAATTCTAACCCTAGGAAACCATACTAATCCCTTCTGGGCTCTGCCATTTGTCTTCTTTACTTCACTAGGTACTTTCTGGTCCCTCAGACACTTCATACACATGACAACGAAAAGCTATAACTTAATCTAAAGTAAACAACCTCCCTCTAAACCAACTCAAAACAAAGCAACTTTAATTATTCATTCATTAAACTGTTTTTTCTTATTCCTTTTATTTCTGTTAAGAAAAACCATTTATTTAGACTCCTAAGTGAGAACACATTTGGTCTTTTGATAGTGCATATAGACCCAATTTTCATATATTTTAGTACAAGTGTTTTTCATGGAAAGGAAGTGTAATAGGGTCATGTTTTATGAATATTAATATCAAGAAAGAAAATGCAGTTTTTCTATTTTCTATACTATACCTGATTTAATTATTCATAGAAACCTCCACTCAGCTGGATTGAGAGCAATGTATAGAGCTGTAGATAAAAACTTTCAACTGAAATTTTAAAGCATGTTAGTCTCTTTGAACTTTAAGCACCTTTAATGTGGTTATTAAAGTCTTTTTTGGTGAAATGATCAGGCTTTCAGATATTCTTCTCCTCTCTCTGTTTCTCCCTCTGTTGTACCTGGGTGTGTTCAAGTGGAGGAATGATTTGACCTCCTGGCCACAAGGGAGAGGGCCTCCTGTGTAAGTTCTGTGGATCTAGTCCATCTAGGAGGGCTGGCTCAGTCAGCTGTCTCTGAACTTGCTCTGCTAGGCTACGCTTGTTACTGCCTTTTGGAATGTAATGGCCTATAATGGCTGATTTAGCCAGCATTAGGCCTTTAAGTATTAAATTGGCCCTCAGGCATTGCATGTTTGCCATTGGCTGCTCATCTTCCTAACTGTAGGCTTCTGTGTCACCATTAGTACCTCTGCATATTCTCTATGGCATATGTGAGAACTGTCCATCATGTGTCATACTGGATGTTATTCTGAGGTGCCTTGAGGGGGTCTTCTAGCAGCTTGTAGACTCCCCCAGGTCATGTTCAGGGCAGTGCGTCCCTAGTTCCCATTTTCTCCTTTTCCTATTTGGATATATCTACATTTCACCTCCAGCTTCTCACAGTTCACATCAGATATGAGCTAGGAATAAGAGATAGAGAAAGAGGCATGCTCTAATCACCTTCTCTCTATTTTGCTTACTCCTTTTAACAGCCACAAGGTAGAAAGATGCTTCCAAGTTCCTCTTCATATCTGGTAGATTTCCAACTAAATCCTATCTTCCTATTTCCCCATCTGCTCTGCCCTATTGTCTTAGGCTTTAATGGTGGGTGGGGCAAGTGGGAGAAACTAGCTTGCTGCTGAAGACAGTTGTGTTAGGAGATGTTCCACAACTATTCTCTATATTAGGCTAATTCTCTGCTTATGGTTACAAACTTGTTATTTTTTGTCTATTGATAAATTGCTAAAGTGAGAGAGAAGAGAAGTATCAGATAAGAATTAGGCAACTTTAATTTTGTTTTCATTTTATGGAGAATTGGACTATTAGTTTACATGAACTTTGCATTTCTGATTTATAACGCTTTTAGAATTGGGAGCAGTCTCAGCGATAGCAGGAAACAACCTCTCATGGCCTCTGCCATAACAAGCTTACCTTTAAGATCTTCATGAAATCTCTTATAGGCAGCTCAATATATCTTTTAGTCTCTTAGTGCAAATAACAATTGTTAGTATTTTTATATTTTGCAAATGCCTTTCCCTTCAGACTCTGGATAGATTGCTTGAACCCTGGATTATCAAGTGAAAACTTGATAAAAATATCAACCAGAACATAGTTGACAGTACTATATCCCATCATGATGTTTTATATTTATCCTGAAATGGTAAGGGTGTTTGTCATGGGCTCTGTAGAGTTCTGTGCACTTTATATATATTTAATCATGTATATCTCACAAGATCCCATTAATTAGCTACTAATATTCCCATGTTACAAAGAAAACCAGAACAGAAAAAAGGTAATTTGTTCAAGATCACAGAGTAAGTAAGTGACAGAGCTGAGGTTTGGGCCCACAGAGTATGATTTCTGAGTCCTAACTGCCTCACCACACTGGCTCTCTGATAAGTTTATGGATTATAGATATTCATATGTATGTACAATTGGTCTGTCACCTCTTGCTATTTATTCTTTGCCAAAATGCTAGCAACTAAGGCTACTTCAATAGCTTGTTTACATAATCTCAGGGGCACACACACACACACACGTGTTAAATTATTAAACAAGGAGGCCATTACACCAAAGTGGCTTTAATGCCATGGTAGTCTACCTGAACACATCAAAATCTAAATCTTTAAATGCCTCAGGATTACCAAACTCTAAGTCTAAGGACAGCCAATCACAAACCACCCAATTAGACTTCAAGCTATACCCAATTGGTTTCCTTGATTTACTTCTTATAAAAGTCTCTCCCCAAGATTTTGGCCATGGATTACTCCTAACTTCTGGTTTGGTGCTCTCCAAATAGAATGGATTTTTGCTCAAACTCATAATTTTTAATATGCCTCAGTTTATCTTTTAACACACGCAAACAACAAAATCTACTTTAATTTAAAATAACAAAACAAAAAAATAAATGATTAAATAGTTCAAATACTAAGCACAATCTAAAAAAGAGTGCTTTGGATCTTAATAATAATCCCATCAATTAGTAAGGGTTTCCAGAATTTACGTAAACACAAAGCTTCTACCAGAATGGTTATCATGCTTGTAGTAACAATACCATAATGAAGAAGCAGATATCATTTGCTAAGTGATGCTTAGCAATGTGCATCCTGTATTTTCCTCCTGTATGCTGATCTCACTGAGTTTTACTTTGCTTCTAAGCATAATGTGCACATTCTCTTTTGTTTAGCATATTCATCATTCTTGTTCCCCAGATTGAGCCTATTAGAACAATTAATGATTCAGAATGCTTCTTCCTTTTCTGTTCATTTATCCATTCTAATTATACTTAAAAGTGGCATTACATTTTCTTTATTGGAAACTTCAGAGAAGAGGGACTAATGGAGCAATCAGACAAAAGGATACAAGCAGGTAGAAATGAAAGATTGCCTGTTATTAATTTATGACTATGTGAACTTATTTGTGTTCCCTTTCAAGAGGGATTTGCTCTCCGTATCTTTTATCTTGTACAAGGCAGCCATTAAGTGCATGAGAGGAAAATGACAGACAAAATGTGGTGATTGAACTGGCCAAGATATATTATCATCATCCCAAAGCCAGCTAATAGGATCTTAATAAAAAAGGACCTGGCTGAGTGAAGACAAAAAAAAAAAAAAAAAGGAAGAAACAAAAAATCTCCTGCAGCTAATATCTTAAAAGATGTGAAAAGTTTCACTCTGTTATGTAATCTCATAACTTTAAATTAGAGACAGCATCACAGTTGGATGGAGACGTAGACATTCTTAGAATGTTCAAGCAGAGACCGTGGAAACATTAAAAGTGTATGTATGACTTTCATGTTCTCCCATCCTAGTTGTCTCCCTCTTCCTAGAATGTCTTGTGGAGTTTGAGAAATGAGTCACTTCAGAATTTTTGTGCATCTCAGAGATGATTTTATCGGCTTGAGCTCAGCAGATCTAAATAGTACAATTGGTCACATTAGTGAATACTGAGTTCAATTAAAATGGTTGAGCCCTATGTGAGACACCATTTACAGTTGTGTAGTTTTGACCATCTCAAGTGGAGTGTCACATAAATGGTCTCATTTCTCAATTTTCTTCCTGTTTTAGTTACAATTATCCATGTCTAATCTCATGGTCTTTAAATAGAAAATAAAGGCAAAAGAAACACAATGTAGCAAGTCTATCCACACTATTTAAGGTATATATATTGACAAATTTGCCAACATTTTCTTAGGTACCCAGGAAGTACTGATGTTTTTAACTCTAGGCATCAGTGGATTTTTGTTATAAAGTGATAGTAGTGGCTATTTTTAGACCTAAATTTGAAAACTATACCTGGAATTTATCAAAATATGTAATAAAACATTTATTGCCATGTGTTCAGATTTATTTTCTTAATTCTTCTTTGCTCTAATACTACTACACCTTTTTTTTTTTTTTACTATACTTTTGCCATTCCTGAGCCTTTAAATTTTGCTTTAGCTTCATTATTTCCATCTGAAATAGGTATAATATCTAGCTGGCAAATAAAATGTGATTTATTTAATTAAGAAATATTGGAAAATCATTGTGTAATTATTAATTTTTAACATAAATGTTTTGATATATCATGGCCCTAAAATTGGTTTTTATGTTTTTATTTATTTTTAAATGTTAGCCTGTGTTTTTATGTTTTAAAATTTTAAAAACATTTTTTAAATGTTTATTTATTTATTTTGAGAGAGAGAGAGTGTGTGAGTGAACAGGGTAGGGGCAGTGAGGGAGGGAGAGAGAGAATCCCAAGCAGGGATCTGTGCTGTCCGTACAGAGCCCAACATGGGTCTTGAACTCACCAATCAGGAGATCATGACCTGTGCCAAAAAAAAGAGTCAGATACTTAGCCAACTGAGCCACCCAGTTGCCCTTAAAATCGGTTTTTAGAATGCCATGTTAAATCTCTAAATTTTTGGAAAACTTTATTAAAAAATAGTAAGTAGGCTATATATTCATTTGTATCTATATGATCATGGGTATTTCTATTTATATGTGTTTGTCATCAGATTTAGGCACATCATTACTATCAAAATTTCTCTCCCTTTTCAAAGGGGTAATATGACTGCATTTATGAGTTCAGCTCACAATGTTCATGGAAGACAGGACTTCATAGTTTGGAAAAGTTAAAAGTACGTAAGAACATCTCTTCATCATGTATTTAGACTCTGGAAATTAATAGCTATCAATATTATCCCACCTGCTGGAACTCACAGGCTAGACATAGAAATGGGCAGGTGACAGAACTCTCATTGGCAATTTCTTTTTTCCTTCAAATCACCTAGAATACACTATTTTGTTATACCCTTCTTCCAAACCCATCAAACTTTATAAAGCTTTAATAAGGAATAAATATGTTATTAAAGATTTATTGGGAAAGAAAACTCACATTACACAATACATACCAGAAACTTAATAAAATTCTGTAGGTATATATGTTCTTCCTTCTACAGTTTCTTACCTCCTTACTCTACTTTTCCCTCTTGTACATAGACTCTATAAATCTCATTACCCTGAGCAGTATTGTCTGTGCCCTTCAACCAGTAAAGGAAAAATTCAATAATAAATGGAATTGTGAATACTTGTTCCTCAAGCCATCCCATCAGAAGAGTCTTACCAAGCCAAGTGACTTATCTAAATAGTCAACCCAATAAATTAATCTTATATTAACTAATTATAAGGAAATGGGAGCTCAAAAGAAAAATAATTAGATCTGCTCTGGGTAAGAAAGATTGCATAAAACCAGTGACTTATGATCTGGATCTTGATGGATGCATAGGAATCTATGCCAATAAAACTGTTAATAATCTTTAACAGTTACTGAGAATTTTCATGTACACCATGGTGATGATTAGCATGAAGTGTCTCAAAAACTAATGGAGATTATTGTTAATAGTTAATATTATAAACCCCATTGTGTAGCCAAGAAACCCTAGAAGCTGAGGAACTTGTTCAAGTTCATACAGCTAATAACTGCTACAATATAGAGGTAGAACCAAGATTTGAGTCCAGGGATGTTGACCTCAGCATCTGAGCTACTGTATTCTTCTGTTAAATAAAGTAGGTTTTTAGTCTGCTACAACCGACTTTAACACTTTTTATCTTGTATATGTTATTTAAGGTTGTGAATAAACCCAGTTTAATTTCATTGTCACCTATCATGCTAAAATATTGACAAATGAATACAGCATTTACTTTCTTTATCATAAATTTTGAAATATTTTTTCCATGGTGAGCAAAGGCCTTATGCAAATGTTTGCATCTTTATAGATCATCTTCAAGGTTGTACATTGTTTACCCTTGAGGATTCACTGAAATGGCTAGTACAGCCACATCAACATCAAGTCACATCTGCCTCCCATCAGAAGCTTGTGTTATTCTCAAGAACCCAGAAGCAAAGGTTGAATGCTTTTAGGAGACTGAGCAGGTGCTAAGAGGTACCACTAGTTATTTAGCAGAACTAGATTCAGTCTTATGCAAGCCTGTGAACTAAAAGGTCATCCAACTGAAAATGTCCTCCATCTGTTTTTATTATTCTCCTGTCCAGCATTGTACTTTGCTGTTTATACATACAATGAGTTCATGATAAATATAAAATAAGACAATTCATTTGGTGACTTGAAGTAAATTGCTTTAGCAATAAAGTGTTTGATAGCATGACAATGATGGTTATTTTAAAATTTAAATATTATACATTTCTTGAGTTATTTAAGCATGATACAATGATGAAAGCAGAAATCATTCTAGAAATCTCTTCATGATCTTTCCTATCATATTGTGTTTCCTATAGTAGTACAGATAGAAATACTAAAATATTTTAAATTATTTTCAAGAAAGAGCAGTGGAGATATATTTTGTCTAGAGGTTCTCGGTTAAAACTGTATGTTATTTATTGATTTTTTCACAATTCTCAATTATTTATTCTACACCTAGTATTGGTAAATATAATGGGATCCAAAAATGTACAAAATAGGCTTGATTTTTCTCTATAGAGGCAACAAATATTAACTAAAAATTGCATAACAAACATAGGTATTATAAATATAACATCTTGTTTGAAAGTATATGGTACTAGGAACTTACAGAATGGAAAACTTGTACTAATAACACTGTGTTAGTGCAATATGTAATAAGTTCAAGTATAGGTTATGAATGCCTATTGGACAATAACTTAAAGACCTAATTTAACAGAGTTCTTATTTATGCCAAATATAAGTGAGACTGTTCATAATTTCAAGGAGCTTATGGTCTGAGGTAGACACCGAAAGGTAAATGGATGATAGTAGTATAGCTTGTTAAATGTTTTGTTGGGGAAGCAGAGGAGCCTTGGAGGCATAAAGGATATTCCTTCACATTGTGGGAGCTATGGAAGATACACAGACTTTAAATTTAAAGCCCAAGGAGGCTTAGAGTTCCCCACTATATATTTGTATTCTTAGCATTAGGAAAAATTTAATAACAAAACCAGAGCAAAATTGATATGTAGTATTTTGTTTTACTTTTTTAATGTTTGTTTATTTTGAGGGAGAAAGGGAAAGAGAAAATTCCAAGCAGGCTCCACACTGTCAGCACAGAGCCCAATGCGGGGCTTGAAGTCACAAACTGCGAGATCATGACCTGAGCAGAAATCAAGAGTTAACTGATTGAGCCGCACAGGCACCCTGATACATACAATTTTAAAACATCCAGACATCAAAAACTACAATAAGTAAATGTAAAGCGGGGGTAAGCCTTGAGAAAACGTTTGAAACATTTACACAGGTAAAATGTTATCAACATTAACATACAAAAATCTCTTTATTATGTAATATAAAGAAAACTACTCCATTGAAAAATGAGCAAAGGATAAGGAATGACATTTCATATAATCAGAAAAAACAGTGGCCAAGTAAGAGATGTGTAAATATGAAGCTTAGTAGTAGTAAAAAACATATTAGTAAAGCAGGATATTCCATATACAGAAAACTCTAAAAATTAAAACTCAATATAGAAATAGAATATAGAAAAAGGCATTCTTCAACCCAAAATCCTTTGGAGGATTTTGTCAAAGTATGATGAAAGCTGAAAAGATACATATTCTTTGACTTAAGAAATTCTAGTGTTAAAGTTTTCCTAAGGGAAGTAATTGGACAATTGTACAAAGATTCAGGTGTATTTATCATTATACTGTATATTTTTAAAAACATTTTTTATTTATTTTTGACACAAAGAGAGACAGAGCATGAGCGGGGAGGGACGAAGAGAGGAGGAGACACAGAATCCGAGGCAGGCTCCAGGCTCTGAGCTGTCAGCACAGAGTCAGATGTGGAGCCCAAACCCACGAACTGTGAGATCATGACCTGAGCCGAATTTGGACACCTAACCAAGTGAGCCACCCAGGCGCCCCAATTATGGTACTGTCTATGTAACAATAAAGCAATGTGAATGTCCCATTATATGGAATTGATAAATAAAATTTGGTGTATACAATGGAATACTTTGAGATCATTATAATTATTCTAAACATAGCCTTGCTAAGAATGTACCCAAGGGATACAGGAGTGCTGATGCATAGGGGCACATGTACCCCAACGTTCATAGCAGCACTCTCAACAATAGCCAAAACATGGAAAGAGCCCAAGTTTCCATCCACTGACAAATGGATCAAGAAGATGTGGTTTATCTATACAATGGAATACTACATGGCAATGAGAAAGAATGAAATCTGGCCATGTGTAGCAACCTGGATGGAACATGAGGGTATTATGCTGAGTGAAATAAGTCAGGCAGAGAAGGACAGATACCATATATTTGCATGTATAGGAGGATTAGGAGGAACTTAACGGAGTACTGTGGGGGAGGAGAAGGGAGGAAATAGAGGTGGAGAAGGAGGGAGGCAAACCATAAGAGACTCTTGAATGCTGAGAACAAACTGAGGACTGATGGGTATGGGGGAGAGGGGAAGGGGGGTGATGGGCATGGAGGAGGGCACTTGTGGGGATGAGCACTGGGTGTTATATGGAAACCAACTTGACAATATACTATTTTTTAAAAAAAGGAAGAGATGTTTAGCACATATAATTAAACTAATTATAAAACTAGGAATAAAATTCCACATCTAAAAGTATGGTTTATTCATGCATAAAATGTCATGAAACATACACTCCAAAATATAAGCAGTCTGGTAGAATTATAGGTGATTCTTTTTAATTTCTCTTCAGTTTTTTTTACTGTTTTTTCAACAATGCATACATATTGCTTGTATAATAGTGAAATATATGCAAGTAAAACATTTAAAAAATATGAATATACTGGGGTGCCTGGGTGGCTCAGTCAGTTAAACGGCCAACTTCGGCTCAGGTCATGATCTCATGGTTTGTGAGTTCGAGCTCCTTGTTGGGCCTGTACTGATAGCTCAGAGCCTGGAACCTCCTTTAGGTTCTGTGCCTCCCACTCTCTCTGCCTTTCCTATGCTCATACTATGTCTCTTTCTGTCTCTCAATAATAAATAAAAACATTAAAAAATTTTAAAAATATGTGTATACTAAAACAAGTTTCCCCCCTTAAGTTTGATCTGGTATTCTTACCATAAACCCAAATGAGAATTGAGTGTTCAAGAAATAAGGATTATTAGGTTATTTTTTAAATTTGGAAACGATGTCAAGAATAATTGGACATCTACCTGAGATATCTGCTTTATTTACTAAATTCCAAGAGGAATTTGTTTTTTAAAACACTGTAACTTGAAACATATTAGGATAGTGAGAAATCACGAATGAAAGTAAAATATGGTCATTAATAAGAGGAGGAAAGCAAATTGATAAATATTTATGTATCCAAGTGAAAGATTCATGCAATCCATCAATCATGTATTTTTGGATAAATAAGTGAACATGTTTATATGTATACACATATACATAGAGAGGTTGGAAGAATACATGGAAACTTATATAGATGGATTGGTAAGTTTTGACATTTAGTAGTGAGCCTTATAGAGGTTTTTTCTTTTACCCTTTTTCTTTAAGTTTATTTATTTATTTTGAGAGAAAAGGAGTGCAAGAAGGGAAAAGAGAGAGAGAGAGAGAGATAAAACCCCAAGCAGGCTCCACACTCAGCACAGAGCCTGATGCATAGCTTGATCCCACCACCATGAAATCATGACCTAAACTGCAATCAAGTGTCAGACACTTACCTGACTGAGCCATCCAAGTGCCCCTTATAGAATTTTAAAGTAGGAAATTTTCGTGAGTAAAAGTAGTAGAATACATGTTTTAGTAGTAAAATAGGTATTCTATATTAGGTTTATAATAAAATGAAAGCATGAATTTCCCTGATTATGACACCAGTCACTCTATCTTGATTAATTGTTTGGAATTCCTAATTCAGCTTTGTCTGAAAGTATTTCTCATTTTTTTATGCTTAATATCTTATACGTGCCCCATCATGTGATTGAATGCTGACTTTATCCTGTGACTTAAACAAGATATTTTATTTATTTATTTATTTATTTATTTATTTTACAAATGTAAGACCTAATGCTCAGGAATAATCCTGGAATCAAGACTAATATTAAGTATTTCCATTCTAAATCTATACTTTCTTGGTCTTGTCATGACGGTAAGAGATAACCTAGAACAAGTAATTAACATAAAAGGATCCACTATCTTGAACTATAAGTTAAGGAGATAAATATAATGAAGATTGAGCAATGGTGAAGGATTTTTGAAGTTCACACCATGAATTTTAATTTGAATCAATAGCTCTGCATTCCTCTGGGAATAGAAGCTCTTATTTCTTAAGCAAGATGCTTCTAGCTATTAAATCATATGTGGAAGCAACAAGAGATTGAAGGTCAATAAAGATGGAACAGAGTCTGGTGAGGGGTAAGGTTCATACATAGCCTATTCTAGAAACAGATTTATCTATTTGGGGAAGATAATCACAGAAGGATATTTTACAAGATCCTCTATAGTCCAGTTTGTTACTTTAATAGCCTTATAGTCAGAATTTATTTTTTTTTACTTATTTTACTTTCAGATATAACTCTAAGCTATTGATGAAGAGAAAATCTAACTTAGTGTTTACTCAGGGTCAGTTGCTTAACTCTTTACATTTGCGTTTTTAAATAATCCTTCCCAAAAATAATGTGAAGTATGTATTATTCATACTTTACAGAAGAGACTTTTATTTAGCTGATACATAATAAGTGGGGATTCAAACACCGAATTGATTCCAAAGCCAACTGACCCTGGGGACTTCTTTGTATAAAATAATCAAATAATTTACCATATTTATATCCAGATGGTCCTGAAGGATCTCATCACCCCTCACCAATTATTAACAGACTTATAATTTGAACACTGTACTAGTTAAGAAAATATATTCAAAGTACTTATAGATTGTTTATATATACTTAATACTGAAACTTAAAGTCTTTTGGTTGCTTTTATTTTTTTTA